GGTTTGTATTTGACCGCTCTTACTATGAGCGGATTTGAATGGGACTCGGCTGAGGCAAAGTAGCGTCGAGACGCTTGCTTCATAAATTGCCTTATAGTGGGTATTTTGAGGTCGCGGTGTAGATCCACGTTGCGCACGTACCACGGGGCGCCCGTGGCCCGTCGCAGAAATTTATTTTGCACCACCTGAAGGGGGTGAAGTAATGAAGGAAGGGCGTGGGCGAAGACGACACTAGCGTACGTCATCACCGGTCTTATACATGCTTTATAGAGCGTCAGCTTTGCGTTAAGCGACAATTGGCTGCGCTTGTTAATAAAGGGATGGAGGCGTCCCAGTATAAAATTGGCCAGGCCTCGGACGCGCTTAAGATGAGATGCGAAACTCAACTTGGAATCTAGTGTCACGCCTAGGTATTTGGCTTCGTTCGTCCAGGGGACGGGCGTGCCAAACAGCTGAATAGAGGCGGGAAGGGATGGTTTTCTTTTGGCCGTGAAAAGCACGGCGGCGCTTTTATCTGGGTTGACTTCGATGCGCCATTTTCTGAACCAGTAGGCCAGCTCGTCCACCGCCCGTTGAAGCCTGTTGGCTGCACAGGCGGCCGACGTGCTGTCCACATATAGGGCTGTATCATCAGCAAAGAGGGCGATTTGCACTCGGGGCTGACGCGGGATGTCGTTGGTGTACAACGAGAAGTGGGTGGGGAGAGGACAGCGCCTTGAGGGACGCCGGCTCTAATCGGTCGTGCGCTGGAACGCACTCCATTGACGCGATAGCGATATGACCTATTGGACAAGAAGGCTCGTATGATGTGCACGAGCCTGTCTGGCACTCCCATCTTGTGCAGTTTGAAAATCAAGCCGCTGTGCCAGACTTTGTCAAAGGCCTTCGCTACGTCGAGAAACAGGGCACATGTGACCCCGTTGGATTTCAGGTGTCGGGCGTTGAGGACGTGTTCTACTACACGATGTACTTGATGAACAGCTGAGTGCTTGGCTCTAAAGCCGAACTGCTCATCGATCAGGATGCCTTTGGACTGTAGCCAGTCTTTCAGGCGTGCGAGTATTAGCTTCTCATACAGCTTCCCCAGCGAGCTGAGGAGACTGATGGGGCGAAAACTGGTGGGAAGGGACTTATCTTTCCCAGGTTTGGGAAAGCCTACGACATCGGCTTCTTTCCAAGCATCTGGAAAGATGGCATTGGTAATTGCCGCATTGAAGATCGCTACTAGAAGTAGCAGAATGGTTTCTGGCAGACTCTTAAGGAGTCTGTTAGAGATACCGTCGGCACCGGGTGCCTTTCGGTTGGGGGTTCCTTTGATGAGTGTTCGCACCTCATCCAGTGTAACGGGGGGGAGTGACTCTACTGGAGGGATCGACAGGATTCGCTCCACCTCGGATTCTACCTTCTCTAGATGATCATCGGGCACCGGAAGGGTACTCGGCATGCATTGGGCCTCTAGGCTGTCTGCTAGGCATTCAGCCTTTTCTTCATCAAATAAGGCCGGACTGTTGTTTGTTCGGACTAAGGGCGGAAGGTCGGAGTAACACTGGTCTGTTTTGAGGGTTTTGGCTACTCGCCAGTACGCGGTATGGCAGGGGGTGAGTTCTTTGGTGAACTTATCCCATCTGTCTCGCCGAAGTTCCGCTATGCGACTCTTTACTTCGCGCTGTAAATCTCGCAGGCGGGTTCGGTTCTCTTCTGAGGGATAGCGGTCATACGCTCGTGTGGCTGCATTCTTAGTGCGCAGCAGAGCCCTTACATCATCAGGCAGGTTCCATCTACGGTCGCCCGTATCCGGAACCTCCCTGGAGCAGTCCTTGACTGCCGACTGCAGGTGCTCTGTTAGCGCGTCAATGGCTGTAGTCGTCTCCTCGATAGATTCGACTACGTCCGGGATGCGGTCCAGTACCGGAGAGTTAGTCGACTCGAGGACTTTCTCGAGCCGGCTCCAGTCCGTGACCGTTTTAAATTGAGGCGCCCCGTCTGCAGGTGGGCCTAGCGAGAATGTGACGGGGCGGTGGTCGGAGATGAGTTCGGCATGGACCTCCATAGAACTCAGCCTTAAGGCTACGTTCTTTAGTAGGGCCATGTCGAGGATGGAGGGCTGATGAGCAGTGTTTGCCGGATAGTGCGTGAAGTGCACTGGGGGAAGGATGTCGAAACCCATGGAGAGCGAAAGACGTTCCAGGGTGAGACCGTTTGGGTTCGGATAAGCACAGCTCCAAAGGCTGTGCTTGCAATTTAGATCTCCGGCAATAATTACCGAATCCCCCAGGTCCATGAGAGCTTGGAGGTCGGCCCGGAGTAGCTTTTTGGAGGGAGGGAGATATGCCGATGCTATATAGATCGGTCGGTGGTCTGTCATCGCGAGGAGGCATATCGAGGCTTCCATGTTTACGAGCGGAGGCGTGTCGATCGGAATGCACTGAAGGGACCTTCGGTAATAAATTAACGTACCGCCGCCGCGACTGATGCGGTCATTGCGTACGATATTGTAGTTTGCGATTCTTGGACCGCGTGTTGAAGGCTTGAGGAAGGTCTCCTGTAGTAGGAGAACGTCCACCTGATGGACGGTGAGAAACTCACGGACTTCGTCTCTTTGCCCTTGTAGTCCGTTAGCGTTGAAAAACGCTAACTTAACGGACCGAGGTTTGCATCTTTTCGCCCTTAGATCCATAATTAATTGTTAAAATTGAGGATGGCGACTAGTACGCCGATGTGCTCGCAGACGGCTGCGAGTCTTTCTTGTGGGTCGTTGACTGACCTTAATTTGGAGGCCAGGGCCGTAATCTCGCCAGCGTCGATGGAGCTGGCGAGTTTCGCTACCAGTGCGAAGTCGGCTGCGAAGCTTGAGCCTATGTTCGTTCCAGTTTGCGGGGCGGGGCGCGGAGGAGCGGGCGATGCCACAATCTTGGCAAGCGTGGGAGCGGTTGCAGATGGCATGGTGGGTGAGGGGGTCGCCTTGACGACCGGAGGTCGCACCCAAGCATTTTTTGGCGGGGGAGGTGGTGCAGCTGAGGGCTGCGGGATAGTAGGGGGCGCGGGGCGTGCTGCGCGGGGTGCCTGAGCCTTTGTGGCTTTTGCGGAGGCCTTGTTTTGGCCGGGACGGGGAGCGCGGGGACATCCGCGGTAGTTAGCTGTGTGGCCCTGTGTGCCACAGAGTACACAGCTAGGTGGGGTCGGGGTGCCACTCACGCGAGTGCATTGCTTGGTGCCGTGGTCTCCCAGGCACTTGACGCAACGTTCGCGCGCGTAGCAGTTTCGGGCGGAGTGCCCATAATTTTGGCAGCGGTGGCACTGCCCGGGGTAGGTCCGCTTATTTGGCGGTTCTACTGATAGGCCTGAGATCAGGCAGACACTTCGGATGTTGAAGATAGATTTCCCCTCTGGGGAGAGATCTAGTACCACTAGTACCATGTCTAGTGGCGTTTTGGCCCTGCTGCGGTACATCCTGTGTACCTCGTGGACGGGGTAGTTTTGTGAGCGGATATCTGCGAGGATGTCCTGGCAGTCCAGCTCCTTAGGGACGCCGCGTATTACTACGCGCAGTCGTTTCTCCTCCTCGAGGGCATAAGTGTGGTAACCCACACTGTTTGTCCTGAGGAAGGAAGTTAACTGGCGATGATCCGTCGATGTGGGAACCACTACTCTGATTCCTAGTGAGGTTACCCTTGCATGGGTAAAGGATATGCGCTTTTCCTTCAGCGCAGCTGACACCCTGTTCCAGGCTGTCTTGTCCTGGATGATTATAGGAGGAGGAGGCCTCACTTTCCCCGCGTGATCGCGGTCGGTTTTATCGGCGTTAGCCGGAACGGGTGCGCCATCGTTGGCACGTTGGGTTTTAGGCGGGGGAAGATCGCGCGCCCGCTTCGCGCGTTTGGTGCGCTTGGCACCCACAATTTGAAATTCCTCTTCCGAGGAGGAGGCAGTGTCGGAGGAGTCGCCTGTTTCGGCGACGACGTTGGGAGCGTCTAGCTCCATTTCCGTTTCAGAGGAGGGGCGGTTGGGAGCAACCTCCTGTGGGGACATCGGCTCCGGGGTACTCACTAGGTGGTCCCCGGGGGAAGGTGGGTTTGAGGACAGCTCGTCGTTGGCCTCCTGAAGGGAGGCCGCCGGCGAGGCAGGGGCGTCGTCATGTATCACATGTGCGCCCCTGCGCTCATCGAAAAATGCCTTTAAGAGGCCAGGACATTTGGCCTTTAAAAAGGCCACGAATTGTGGAATGTCATCCTGGGACAGCGACATGTTGTCCCAGGAAACACTCCTCTTATAAATTAGCAATGCACCCGACTCTTAAGTCGGGTGCCAATACCTAAAAATAATTTAAATTTATAATACGGACAATGCGCTACTATAAAAGTGGACACAAAAAATAAGCCGCTACAAGCCGCGTATATAAGGGCCTGTTGGGACCTGTCCAGGTATGAGTCGCCCTTTATACAAGGATTAGTCACCGGCCGGGCGACGGTTACCCGGCCGCTTTGTGTACAGTTAACCGCCCCGCCGAGTACGGCGGGGGGCTGTGTGCCTATTGTTAATGTAACAATGGAATGTAGTCACCGGAGTGACTTGTGTACCTGTTGCCGATACTTGGCCGGGGTGTCGAAGGCGGCGCGGGTCGCCGGGGAGGAGAGTGCTGGTCTCTGGCACCGGCTCCGGAGCTGGTGCGCTGCGCTTATGGCGCAGTACACCCCCAGCACTGCTGCTTAGCCGCATAAATAAGAGTGGGACAGAGGTACTTATGTATATAGTACGACTCATACGAATCCTAAAGTGAAATGAGTTAATGAGCCGGCAGAGTGAAAGTCAGCGCTGTATAGGTGCATCTTGCTGGAGGTGTGCATATATAGCAACAGCCGAGGTGGCTCTTATTACCAGCAAAATATACTGATATTTTTTCCTTTATTGTTGTTGTTGTGTAATTATTATTTTTTTATTGTTGTTAGTATTAAAAGATCTATCATCTGTCTATTTATATGTAAATATTCTGTTTTGTTCAGGCGCGGCCGTTGTACACGCTACCACTCCGTTGGATCCACTCGCGGCGCGTCGCAATTATGCGCGAGGTCTGCTCTACCCCTTGCAATATCACTGCGACCGTCCGCTATGCAAGCAGCGTCTCCTGCAGGTCAGGAGACGACCGAAACTGTGCTCATTGAGACTCCATTAAGTGATTATAACGTGAGATATTAAAATGTACAAATCAGTATTTTATTATGTTAAATTGTATTGTGAATTTGAGATTTATAGTAATAAGGGGAAATAATCTAGTACAGTCAACGCCAAAAATCAAAAGACAAGATGTAAACGCGAATGTGACCGTAAGGCTAGTGCTGCATAGGTTATTAGACCGATCTTCCTTCGCGTTTTTTCGGTGACGGAATGTCCTGACATTAAATTGCATACAAATCCTATTAAAAGTAACAATTGATACGTAATTTGATATATTGTGCTGAAGATCGATTATTATGTCGACGTAAAACCGTAGAACGTGCACGATCGGCGTTTGTTCGGTCGTAAGTGCATGGATCTTCAGTAGACGTATGTTCGGCAACGCCATATTGGATAGTTTCTTATGTAGCGCGAACCGAATTTTATCATACAATGCATCATGTTCGCCGGACGGTTGCATTGACAGCTCACGTCGAAAGTTTTTGTAGCTATTGACTTCGGCGATGTTTTGTCGTTGAACATACGCGACTGACATTACCCCTAATTTAGCACTGGCCTAAATCACATTAGACGTTCTATGGTAGATCATTTTTATTTATTTCCATAATACGTTTTACAAATTAATATTACGTTTACTATTCGTATTAAATTTTTGTAAATTTATTTTGCAATTTTCCAAAGTACTTCATAGAAATACATATAGATGCACAAACATATTTTTGTGGTCTGAGTAATATTAAAATACGGGTAGGTACAGAATTGTGTGTTTGTATTAAGTTGTCAATGTATCAAATATGACTGATATCAGGACGATAAATGTTGTATAACTCATAAAATATAAATTTTTAAATATAATTTCGCTCAAATATTACACTGTATAGCGTGTTTGTATTTATTTTATTTATAATTAAATATATGTGTTGAGACAAGAGTTAAGTGAATAGTAGGTAGGTACAAATTTTGAGAACCATAATAAAGTGGGTAAATAAGTATCTATATTTTTATTTATAAAGTTATTATTATGAATTTTTAGTCATCAAATAAATGAAGTATTAGTGGGTAGCTGTATTACTTTACATTAAGTGCAATTTGGCGTGAATTTACTGGGTACAGAGGAATAACACCTGAGTCCTCAGGAATGGCAACGCATGGGGGGTATCATGGGCGGAACAGTATACTCTGTTATGTCCATGGTACTGCTCATGTCTAGAGGCGACGGTAACCACTTTCCATCAGGTGGGCCGTCAGCTTGTTTGTCATTCTAAGTTGCATAAAAAAAAAAAAAAATCGTTTGTGAATGTTTATTCTAGTAGAATATATAAAAATAATATTGTACAATTTTAATTTAGGTTCGAGTTATAACTATGTTAAACATTTTATATAACGATATAATTAAATTATTTTTTATTATTTATATATTCATTATGGTCGTAAAAAATTGTACCTATTTTAATCTAAGTCAAAAATTTTTAAATGTAAATTGTATTGTGCGATTTATATTTATTATTATAATAATAATTTTAAAGATTATATTTAAGTGTATTACATAACTAGAACATTAGTATCTTAGTGACTTCTAAGAGAATGTAAATATGTTTAAGGCCAATATAGAATTTTGACAACTCAATAAGCGATGTTCAATTATAATATTTATTTTTGTGTACATGTATAAAATATATGTAGAAAATTATTTATTAAATATTATTTTCAAACATATTGTGGTGGTATTTTTATTTTATTTATAATCTTATTTATTAGTGACATAATGATGATGATGATGATGATATCTGCTGATACTGTCCACTGCTGAACATAAATCTCCCCCTTGGCGGGGGGGGGGGAACAAAAGTTGACACGGTTTAACATGTGGGTTGTTAACCGCAGTAAGGTATTAGTGAGGTTATAAGAGGGATGCTGCTGTCCATCCCTCGACCATTAAGTTTTCTACTTAGTCGCTTCTTACGACACCCACGAGAAAGGAAGGAATTGCCCATTCTATGCTGGGACCACACGAACGTATGTAACATGCTTACAAAAAACTCTATATGCTATTTCTCGAAGATGACTGTCCAAAGATATGGAGGCTTAACACTTTAGTTCTCAGAAATGGCAAAGCAGGAGAGATCCCATGTGCGTCACAATGTATTCTGTAATTTCCATACCGCTGTTCATGTTTATAGGCGACAATTGTAACCTTAGATTATAAAATATATAGTTTGGCAATTGAAAGAGAGAAAATATAATAATAACATATCCATTAGAGCGAGACAAACAAGTATGACTGTCCACTTAAATAATGTCTGATCGTGGGCACACGCACGTTTTGGTGGCTTGGTAAATTAAATAGAAATTACAGAATTCACATTTTGATTTATTTTTTGTAACTGCACTAACAAGTATTCTGATTGAACAATATCAAATTATAACAATATTACATATGTCATTATAATTTACTAAACAACTGAAATATAATCAAGTAATCAAGCATTAAACGGAAGAGAACGAATCAATGACAATCGTAGTTTCATTTCTTTACTAGATAAGATAGATTATAAGGAACTAAGATCCTGCTTATTAGGAATAAATTATGATTAAATGAATTGAATATAAAAATAAGATTTAGACACGTTGAAGCATATAATATTGTGTAAACAAGGACATTCCACTACAATTGAATTTACTGGGTACAGAGGAATAACACCTGAGTCTTCAGGAATGGCAACGCATGGGGGAATCATGGGCGAAACAGTATACTCTGTTCTGTCCATGGTATTGCTCATGTCTATAGGCGACGGTTACCACTTTCGATCAGGTGGGCCGTCAGCTTGTTTGCCATTCTAAGTTGCATAAAAAAAAAACTATATCTAATTATTTGTACGTTTTGAATTAGTTTTAAGTGTTATGTACTTGGATACGATATAACTTTTTTTAACTGCCTTTAATGAATAATAAATTACATTTAGTTAGATCTATTAGCCACTGAACTAGGCAGAGTCTGTATCTCAGTGGATAGTTAAAAAACTTTCATTGACTTAAATATTTATAAAAGACGTTACAATATCGAATATAGACACACTGAAATTTGCAATGTTCAAGATATTTTTGTAAATTAGAAAAAGAACTACAAAATTTTAGTACATATTTTTCACAACATGACGACATGTTGTTTTGTGGTAAGATTCACTACTAAGCCGACGAAAGCATAGTCCATACAGGATATTCCAGCTTAGTCAGCGGGTCATTCCAACATCCAAGTTAAAGCGAGATGCTCTTGTTGGCAAAATTAATAATATACTGCACAGGGTTTCTTCTTGGGGCGACAGTAATCTTGTCACATTTAACGCCAACAAGACTTTCTCCTTCCGCTTCATTGTGTGGTACTTTTTGAAAAATACGAGAATAGTTTAATTCACTGAGAGTATATCTGCGTCCCGATCTTACAGGATCTACAGGAATTAGGATTGCAGTATAAACAGCATTAAAAAAACTCTCTAAAGTTCCGAACAGCGCGACGGTACTTCACACCGGAGCAAACCCTCTGTTATATAAAGCACAAGAAAGGTCGTGTGTGGAGTACTGCTTGCGTCCTTGGGATGGCTTCACTAAGTACCTTCTATACGCTTTCGATGTTCTAAAGAGAAAAGCTATTCATATCGTGGAAGACGTTGAGATGAGTAAAATTCTAGAACCTCTATAACTACATGAGTTCCTGGAAGTACCTGTAACTGTATTTCCTTATTCCATCTTTTCTTTTTTGATATCCCCTCACGAGGATGGGCCAGGGACTACACCTATACGCGGTTAGCCGCCCGCGTTCGCGTATAAGTTTGCCGACTCTTACGGGAACCGTACTGTAGCAATATGGAATGGCCTTTCCTGCGACGTATTTCCTTCGTTCTATAATCTCGGATCGTTCAAACGTAGTGTGAAAAAGCACTTAGCCGGCATAGTGCAGTCAACTATTGAGAGTAAATCATTCCCTTTTTGGTTGATCGTACTAATGGACCATATTCTCTCTGTATGCCGTGTGGTCCCGGTATAGAATAAGCCACCTCTTTGTTTCAATCATTCGTTTGAATGTCATAGGAACCGACTAAGGGAGGGCGAGGGATGGGCAGCAGCGTCCCTCTTAAAACAAGTCTAAAGCCTGGCTGCGTTTGCCAATCCGCCTGCCGAGCATGGTAATCATAATTATCAATTAGTAATGGCTACTGAAAATTGTTTAGTTATAATTGAATATTGACAGATAATCCCGACGTTGTCAGATTTCCGAAAGCTTCGGTATGAACCCTCTTAATTTATGTTCTTTACTCACGTAATATTGTTTACCTCGCTTTCGGGGGCTGCAACTTATTGAATGTAACACTACGAAAGTTTCAGGAGATAAATCTAGTTAGTTGTTACGCTAGAGTTTGGTGGACGTGACAAAAGAGTTAACAGAAACTAGTGAGCGACACCGCGCGTAAATTATACAAAATTAGTGCTAGTATTGTATTTATTGGGCCTGCGTGAAAGATACAATTTAACAATTCGTTTTACATAAAAATCCGACTTTATTACTCACAAAGTTAGTATAATAACAACACTAGAGATAGAACTTTTGTTTTAAAAAGATTCATAAAAATCGGATAAGAACTGGAAAAATAAAAATAAAAAAAAGATTATGAGCGACTCAAAGTAATTTAATAGATAGACGCGCCGCGCCATTTTAATATGGATGGTTAAAAATTTCTTAATTTACGATCCTAGTGTAATCCTTTGGTGTAAATATTCAGTTTTACTGGTAAACGATAAAAAAAAACCTATAAAAGGAGGCTAATAAATTTGATTTCACTCTGTATGTTCATATATATTACCCAAGTACCAGGCAGTCAATAATATACTCCAGTTATTATCTACCTGTATAATCAGAAATACATTTTGTATTTTTTAGTTTAACATTCCGTGAACTAAGTACAGAGTAGATTGAGTATATATATTTATAATTTTCATTATTAATAAGAAAAAAATTCCAAGAACCTCTTTTTCATTGAAGTGGGTTGAAAAATAAAGTTTTATGTTTATTTTGTTATTTCTTCTATTCGTATGTTTATTTATAAATCTGAAAGCAAAGAAACACACGCAACAAAAACTTTTATATTTGCAGTCTTGAGTAGAATCAGCATAACTTACAAAGTCAAAGCACTCAAAAAATTCCCATTTCTCATTGAATATGCATTATTAAGGCTTTCAGTGAATTCAGAGTTTTCGAGAGACTCATGGGATCGCTAAGTTTGTTCGTTAATAGATCGCTCAATATTATCATCTGACGTGTTACTTTATTTTTTGAACCTATTAAATATATCTTTAGTATATTTGTATGATCTGCTTCAATATAACTTAATAAAATATTATTTATTTTATTTTCTTGTTTCTATGTCGTTACAGGATACATCCCAATTAGACATGATACAACAAACAACAATGGTTCGATTTTACAGTAATAAATAGTAAATATTCCAGCCCTTGTGAATTTCGTCAGAGAACATATAAAGGGATCAGTGCCTCTAAATATAACTGAACGGATAACAGAGCCAATTATAAGACAGTTTGCTGATGGCGAACATTAGTATTCATTTCATTAAGTTTTGTTGGAACAAACTACTATATCATACAAATTTTAAAAATAATCTATTTATTCATTTATACTTTATTGTACACACTAATAATACATAAAAAGTATGACAGAGATAAGTAAATGTACAAACGCGAACTTGACTCTAAAGAAGAGTTCTCTTCCAGCAAACTCAAAGTAAAAAGGGAAAAAAAAAATCTTTTAAAAAGTTATTTTATAAAATTTATTTTATAAATTTTGATATACTTAGTTACTTGTCAATTTTATGAGCACGGTGTACTATTTTGTTATACATAGTATTTTTTTTAATGGGTGATAATGGAATGATTATTCCGCCTGCGCTATCTATTCTGGCGGGGCATTAGTGAGAGACGATAAGTGAGGATGACAGCAGGTCAGTTAGTCCATAGTGACAAATTTATAAAGAATTAATCAAGATGTTTTCCAGAAAGAACCGTGTGGAGATCGACCTTATATAGTATATTGCTAGTAATGGGGCCCATAGTTTTCATTACTAACAATCCCTTACCCCCATATTGTAGATAATTTTAAGACGAAGCAGTCACATTTTCTAGCAAATTCGTTTTATTTCTTAAGAAGACATATTATTCTTATTTCTTTGACAAAGTATTCGAGCTCTCCGTTCTGCAAACGAATGTAATAATTAGAGATCTGAGAACTAATGCAGTTTTGTAGTTTCATCTGGCAGAGTAGACAAATAATCTGATTGAAGTGAAGTAAGAAGGTACTAATGGTAGGTCAGTAATATAATGAAGTCTCTGTATCATTTATTTCACAGAAGACTGCTAATTAAACGGATTAATTACACGGATTTTACAATGAAAATGTTGCTACTGCATTAATTTTGTACCGGAACTTCATTTGGAAAAATTCTAGCCTGGCAGTAATAATGTCTTTATTAGTATTCGGCTTGTGTTTTGTTCACTAGAAAATTTGTACTGGACATGTATAGAGAGAAAATTGATCCTCAATCTATGGCTAATATAGGGAGGGAGGGAAAGGGAGGGAGGGAGACTTTGTACAAAAGTCGATTGCTTGGGTACCTCTGTCCCATTCGTGTTTCTACCGTGAA